TGCCGCGGTGCGGGGCCGGGCTGGGCGGCCGGCCCCCGTGGAGGTTGGCCCTCCTCTTCCTCAGCCCGGCGCGGCTGCCGGCGGGGGGCTGGCAGCTGTCTTTCTCCACAACCTGCGCGAGGTGGTCAAAGAACAGGCGGCTGAGGCAAAAGAGAGTCATTTCGGAAAGGAAACTGGTAAGACCCGAAGTAAATCAGCTGCTGGTGTGCAGTGCAGTTAACGTTGCTGGGTGGTCACCTCCCAGGCACGCGTCAGAAAACAGCTTACCTGCTCCTCGCCGTGTTCTCCTCACAGTGATCAAATATATACTTTTGATGTGAGGAAATATTTTTGTAAAATCTGGTAAACTTGCTGAATAGTGAGGAAATACGCCTGCCACGTGACAGCATCGGTGTGCAGAAGGGTTGTAACGGTGTTAATTCAGCCTCAGCACCTCGGACTGGAAGACGAGAAAGCAAAAAGTCCTACATAGCTTTAAAGCTGAAATACTGTTTTGTTTCTCACTGTTTTTATAGTCTTGCATAGTAGTCAACTGCCAAAGAGCTTTTTATGTCAGAGAACCTGCCACGTTCTAGAACTTTTTCTTAATATTCTTTTTCTAATTAAACGTGTATAGAAAATCTTATTTTCTAAAGATCAATAAATCACTTCCCGTTTAAAGCAATACTTTCCTGTCTCCGTGAGGTGGTGCCAAATACTTTTCTAAAAGAGGCTTTTTAAGAAATCACTGGTTATAGTATAACTTTAAATGTCAAGAGGCAGGGGTTTTCAGTTTATTATCTTGTTATCATAATACTAGTAAGACTTTTTCTCCCTCACATACCGTTTGGGCTGTTAATTAAACTGACCCTTATTGCTCATTCTCATTATGAAGTCTCTTAGGAATTGTCAGAATTTGAATCTTACCGCAATCAAGGCCATGCTTTCTCTTTTCATCCCGATAAATAAAGAATTTCACCTGCCTGTATGAATGTACTTCTCTTTCAGCCCACTTCCTGAAGATAAGTAAAAATCATCAAACCTGTCTTGATGACGGAAAAGCTGAGACAATGCAACATACTTAGTTTGCTAGAAGTTAATGTCAGAAACAGAGCCGAGATCTGGAATTCTCTTTACACTCTATTTTTTTTTTTTTTAGTCCCTGAGCAACCGGTTGTGGCATGTATTAAGATTTCCTCTGCTTATTCTGTTTACAAATACTTTCTATTCTTTGTCTTTTAATACTTTTCCGAATTGTTAGAAGATTGAAGTTTGCCTTAATTTCATCACCTGGTATAGGAAGTGTGAATTGGTATGAGAATATCCCTCCTGCACATGCACTCTGTCCTCTTTGAAAATTTCAGTTCAATTTAAAGAAGTTAAAAGCTTATGTATATATTTTTTTATTTATTTTTGTTTTCATGAGTAGAGACACAATTACTGAGTGGTTTTCCTTTCTAGTGTGATAGGTCTCTTGAGCTACCTGTCAGCATTATAAACTGTATTAAAAGGATATTTTCCTGTTACTAATTCCCTAATGTGAATATTGTACTTTTCATATCTGAGCTGCTGCATTAGGTTATATCAACATAGCCTCAAGCATGTACTTTTAAGAGGGTTCTGAATAAGACTTGTGAGATCTATTTTTCTTTATTATTAAGTATACTGTATTTAGTTGACCTGTGAATGACAGCAGAGTTCTGATTTTTTTTTTTTTTTTTTTTTTCTCATCATGACTAAAAATAGCAAGTCTGCATATTACTAAGTTTTGCACAACAGTCAACTTCTTGGAAAATTACTCTGATAAACTGTACTTAAAGGGTACAAACCTCATCCTTGTTACAGACACGCTATTTCGTGGATCACCGGAAAGTGCGTGTGGTTGGAGGACGAGGAGGAGAAGGGGGTTGTTCTTTTTATAGTGAACCCAGAAAAATATTTGGAGGTCCTGGTGGTGGAAATGGAGGTGATGGTGGTCACGTCATTTTGAAAGGTAAAACTCATTAAATGTGATTTGTTTCGTGTTTTATCACTTAACACCCCACCCCTCCAGCAAAAACAACCCTACATGTGTAGTAGGAAATGGTAAATGTAAATGTCAAAAATGTTAAAGTGATTATTTCTGTATAAGATGTCTTTGCTTTTTAAGCTTTGCCCTGAGCTGTGATAACGTGGACACAAATGGCACTGACAGCCTTAGAGATAATTTTGAAAATAAAAGTATTTTGCAGACATTGTAGTGGCTCGTACCAGACTATGTTATGATAAGGCTGGGATTTGATCAGATTTTACACTTTAAGATTGATAAAACTGCTTCTGCTACCACAGTTCTACAAAATTTCTTGATCTAGCAAATGAATTTTCCAGAGTATTTTGTAACGGTTGAGTTTGGAATGACCAGTTAATAAAGCACATGGTTAATAAACCTAAGCAGATACGTAAAGGCAGTTAAGCTTCATAACTTACATTAATATTAGTCTTCCCTGATACGTTATTGTTGAGACAGTAAATAGCATGTGCATTCATGCAGTATTCAGAAAGGGAAAGGACAGTCAAGACGTTGCTATTCTGTGCCTCTTCTACTCAAACGGTGTGTTCAAAATATGTGTATTTTTGCTTTATAGCTGACCAGCAAATGAAATCACTCTCTTCAGTCCTCCCCTTCTATCAGGGTTTTCATGGAGAGAGAGGAGGAAACAAAAATTGTTACGGAGCTAATGGTGCATATATGTATATTAAAGTAAGTAAATTAAGGTTGCATGCTAATGTGTTAGCTTTGTACTAACACTGCTGATTTTCAAGCAGGATGACCTTATTGTGAGAAAATCTTATGTGTGCTTTTTCAGGGAGCCTTGTGTGCTGTCTCTGCAGAGATAGGGCTGGCGGGGACACAGACAGATCCTGCTGCTTTAAATTGTTTATGAAAAATTAGACTTCTTTGGAAGGTACATCTGGCGAAACCAAATATGGTTCTGATTTGCTTTGCTTCTAGGGGGTCATATGCCTAGAGTGATTATAATGCAGAACTTCTTAAATAGCAGCATACTTTTTCTTTCATATGTTTTTTTTCTTCAACATGCCTGTTTTGGTGCACACCTGCAATATATTTCTTAGCTCGCTAATGTGCTTAGGCTTCTTTGCCTAAAAGAGAAAGAGGGTTATAGTACATTTTAATGAAGTGTAAATGTCTGACAGTACTGTTTGGGTTCAGAAAGTGAGCCTTGTGAAGTACCCTTCTCTTTTTGGGATTCCCAGTTTGGAGGAATGATTTTCAACAAATATAAAAGGTGGTAAAGGATCTGCTGAAGACATCTCTGCTGCAGACTTTGAGCTTCAGTGTAATGCTGACATCTCTCTGTGCTTTAAGGTCCCTCTAGGTACAGTGGTTAAGGAGGATGGGAAAGTTGTGGCAGACCTTGCTCAACATGGTGAAGAGTATGTTGCAGCTTATGGAGGAGCCGGAGGAAAAGGTAATCGCTTTTTTCTTTCCAATGAAAACCGAGCTCCAACATTATCTACTCCAGGAGAGCCAGGTCAGGAAAGGGTCCTCCATTTGGAACTGAAGACAACAGCTCATGGAGGATTGGTGAGTGTTGCTGTGATTCTTCAACTTCCTTATCGTTGCAGGATGACACTTGAGTGACTGAAGAAATGATGTTTGATTACATTTTTCTTAGCCTTTTGACTTGCTTGTTTAGAGATGCAACTCAACACTTTCTTGCTGTTACTTGGTTGAAGGGTGTCCAAAGTGATTTGCAGAGCTGTTGCTCTCTTGCTACTTGATGTCATCCTACTGTTGCTAAAATCAACACTATGTATAGAAAAGCAATATGCAGGATTCATCAGTAACAGACTCACTGATGATGTTCAGCAGTCTTTGTCTTTTGATTCTGCACATGACCAATAAAGTGGGAAGAGGTCTTCTAAATTAGTTTCTGTTTTCTTGTTTGTTTGGGTTTTTTTTAAGAAAAATGATAAAGTTCAAATTATCTTCTATTTAATCTCTGTATTTCTCTTTCTACAGATATTAAACATTTGACTTAGTTCCAGCTTTAGCATCCTTTGAAATGAAAATACTATTTAGACATATACTAAGTAAACTTAGGGATTAAGCTGTTTTCATTTTTAAGTATGGAAATATTTTAACACCAGCTGGTAAAGCTGTTAAAACTATTCTTTGCTGCAAAGAGTTCTTGCTGTAGTTCAGTAACTGTCTGGTGTAGCAGAATTTGGTGAATTTATTCAGAGACTAAGAAAAGAGTTGGCATTGGTGGATCAATAGATTAATTCTCTGACCAGCTGGACACTCTGGTCCACTTCTCACATTTTTAACACGAATTTGGAAACCTGAGATAAGTCTGTTCTGTACTTCACTGCCTCTGACAAGAATTCAGAGTGTCTGACATCAGCCAATAGGAGAATTTAGGATTTTATTTACTTTCAGCTGGGGATTATTGACCATCTGTGTAGCTATCATGTCTGCTGTAGGGTATCCCAGAGTAACTTAATTTCTGGGGTAGGTTTGTTAAATTCTTGCCTTCTCCCTAGAAGGCCAAGTTTCAATTCTTTGATGTCAAGACTATGAAAATCCCAAACTTGTAGGCATTCTGGTTACTTGAAGGCCAAACTATGTTACTGAATCAGGGACAAAGCCAGTTCTGAATTCTTTTGGAAATAATAAATCAGAGTGAGAAAATACCTAAAATGCGAAGTGCAAGGCAAAGTGTTGTAATATTATTTTGGGATAAAAGAAATCTTATGTTACATACTCTTTTGGCTCTGAACAAAGTGAATACTTGATGGCACAAAAGAAAGTTAAGGAGACTCTTCTATGTTTGATGTGTTTAATGTTTATGAGTGAATACACATATAAATAAAAGAGGGTTTAGGAGAAACAAAAAAGGGAAACCAGGATGCTTTTCAGAACTAAGTATGCAAAATTAATATTATATTCATGCAGGAAGAACCTTGCCACATCTGCAAAACCTTACAGATTTTTTTTATATTGGGATTAGACTAGAACTGTGGCTTTAATGAGTGTCTCTATTCCAGGTGGGCTTTCCTAATGCTGGCAAATCGTCACTTTTGAGAGCAATCAGCAGGGCAAAGCCGGCAGTGGCTGCCTACCCATTCACAACCCTAAATCCCCACGTTGGCATTGTCCACTATCAAGACTATGAGCAAGTAGCAGGTCAGAATTGTAGTACATTGTGTATACCTTGATAGCAGTTTGTGTCACCTGGATTATTCTTTGAAATGCTGCAGAAGTAAGATTAGCAGTTCTGTAGAACTCTTACTAGTTCTAAAGAACTTCAAGCAAAACAATACTGAAAGCCTGTTTCACATTCACTTATATGTGCCCTTAATATCAAGGTAGCATTCTGTATTTTGCCTCCACTGGAATAATCTAAATTTAGGGGTTTTAAAAGGTAATAGCAGCCAAACTTAATGTGAGGTGTGCTTTAATATTGGTACAATTGAGGTGTCATTCTAAAAGTACTTGCACTGCCCAGTAAAAGACTGGATTTGGGTTTTGGTTTGTGGGGTGGTTTTTGTTGTTGTTGTTCTTGTTGTTGCATATGTTGGATTCACTGTGGAATTTCTCTCATTGTAGTTGCTGACATTCCTGGCCTAATAAAAGGTGCTCATCAAAATAGGGGCCTCGGGATGGCCTTCCTAAGGCATATTGAACGCTGCCACTTTCTCTTGTATGTGGTGGATCTCTCTGTGTCTCAGCCGTGGATTCAGCTGCAAGACTTAAAGTACGAACTGGAACAATATAAAAAAGGATTGTCTGAGAGGCCTTGTGTTGTCATCGGGAACAAGATTGACCTTGCTCAGTCCAGGATCAATCTGCCACTCCTTAAAGAACAGATAGATACCCGGGTCATTGCACTGTCTGCATTGACAGGAGACAACCTAGAGGAACTGTTGCTGCATTTGAGAGAACTGTATGATGCTTATGTGAAGACAGAACAATCACGAGGGCAAAGCCCAGTCAAGTGGTAGGAACCAGAACTACTGTGAATTGTAGTGGAAGGAGGAAAAAAAAACCCCATAATTTGATTAGATTGCATCTGTGTGGTTTTGGTTTTTTAATGGGTTGTGGGTTTCTTTATATGCAAGCAGCACAGCGTGTGGATTTGTTCTGGACTGCTGCATTGGAAGGATTTTGTTTGTTCACCTTTGAGGTGTCTTATATTTTACAACCGAATTTGAAAATTGTAATCATGATGGGTGTTGAATTAGAAACCTGGATCTTGTTTGACATTAGGTAGTTAATTATGGAATTAAGAGAATGCTACCTAGTAGAAATTACTGAAACTCGGGATCTGCAGGAGATGCTGGCTTGCTCTCTGAATAGAGTGCAGTAACTTCTCAGTTTTCACTAATCAGAAATTCTGAAATAAAAACAAGGTAGTCCCACGTTCATGTGTTTTTATACCATAACCACTTTCAGGCATCTCTTTCTCCTGTTTTGTTGTTGGGTGTGTTTTTTTTGTCTCAGAGGAGGCACCAGTTGCTCAGTATTTTTAGGATGGAGAAGCATGAAACAGCTGCAATTAATGATTGAAATTATTTCCTTGTTAGTATAAATAATTAACTCTTGAAATGCTGGCAGCAAAGTAGCTGTATAAAATCACCAGGGAACAGTAATTTTGAGACTCACTTCTGAGTTGTCCAATTTTCTTGAGAAGTCTCAAGCAATGTTCTGGGAAATTCTAGGCTTAGATATTTCAAATAAAAGAAGAAATACGGTCTTTACCTCCCCTTTTTTTAAACTGTGCCATTTTGTGAACAGTGTTCTTAAATTTTGCTCTAGGAATTCATAAATCGTCATTTAGAACGTGGGTCTTTGCCCTCTTCTCATGCAGAAAGAAGAGCTGCTTCTGTATACTCTGGTTATATTCTGTGTAATGATTATCTTGATAGTGAAAAGTCAAAATTTATCAAAGCGTATTATTAAGCTTTTTCATAAGGGAGCCTGACAGACTTGTGGAATGCTCAGACACGTACTTCAGTAGTCAAGAGAAACAATTGTTCTTCAGCCTTTACTTCTGTTTCTTGATTTTTGAAGTAGATTAACTTTGTCTTCCAAACTGGCAGTCTGGAATTACAAACCTTGTACATACTTTGTCACATCAACAGAGTACAAAGTAAACTCATTAGCACCATCATAGAATAGAAAGATGTGGTGTTTATAAACTTGGCTTTGTTTTTCCAGGAAATACAATATTAAGGACAGTTTGGTGCATTATGAAGACACGCCTATGACTTGTCTTTGGTTAAGCTTTGTTAGTTTATAAATAAAGATTTAATAATGTTTAAACTAAAATTGACTATTTTCTACTGTATCGGCAGTAGTGGGAATTACTCGGTGGGTTTGAAAAAAGAATCAGCCGTAGCTTCTAATTACTTTTTTTCTGTACGCTACAGCGAAGGTGATAATACTCTCTGCTCCTGTCACTTTGCACGTTTTGTTTGATCTCTGGTATTCTAACGTTTCTGAATGATGCAGCCTTAAAAGACTGGCGCTCTCAGATTCCATGAACCATGGATTTTTTTCCCTGACTGCCTATGGCTGAAAGGGGCAGTCTCGTTCAATCTCTTAATTAAAGCTCAACTCACACTCTCCTGTGCTATCAGTGTTGGGATCAGCTTAGTGATTATGAATTAGAACTAACTTTGCCTCTATAAGAAAGAAGGTGAATATCCTTCTTATTCTTAAGAGCAGCAGGTTTTTATTCTGAAAAAGTGCAAGGTCAACTCAAATGCCTGAATTATTTAATAAAAATATGGGCAAAACAGGTAACTACCTCTGCTGAATTCACATTCTGGGTATTTCTATCCATGATCAGGTGTGGAAAGTAATTTATGCATTCTAAGCAGTGATAATGGTGTAAATATGATCAGGAAAAAGTTAATACTAAATCCTGAAGTTGCTCTCAAGATTTGTTTTATACTTACTTCATCCCTGGCAATTACCAAACTGAATTAGGTAGAACTGAATATTTCTGTCTTTCAGTTTGGTTTTGTGTAGCATTTTTAGGCTTCACTATTGTTTATCCTTCTATTGCTACGTGGTTTTCAGTCATATTTAAAAAAAACGGGAGAAGATTGTCTGAACACAAAAGCTGGTGCAGCTTCTTTACAGAACATTTGATACCTACAAGTACTTTGCGTGCTCTCTGACTGTGTTTTGGTATTTAGCAGTCTTTGAGAATGCCAGGCTGTGTGAAAAGCCTCTGTGCTCACAGGAGCTTTCACCCGTACTTTCTAGTGCTCATACAACCTCACTTCTTGGAGTGGAAAGTATTTTGTGTACTGATGTGCCAAAAGCACAGCAGGTTGCTACATGTCTATTGATCATATAATTGGTTTCTTTGTTCTCAACATTTCAGCCGCCTGTTCTGAGATGACAGTACCAAGCTCCTAACCACATGCCGATAGGGTTCAAAGAGGCTTTGCAGGAGCACATACTCCTTCATCTGTCAATGCAGAGGGCCAGAGAGCTCCAGCTTTAGTGTTGGAATGACTGTGTGTGGGAGTTTGAACGCACTGTAGTCAAGATACACCTATACTAACTGAAATAACCTCCTGCTCGGGGTCCCCACATTAATGCTGGACAAAAGGAGGGGCTGTGTGCTGCCCAGCACAATATGAACAGCCTGGGCCACGTTCCTCTGTTAGGGCTCCTTCAGTACTGGCATGAAGATCTCTTGCATCCCATTCCAGTTATGAGGTACAGAACTGAGGAGTAACTTCTGGTTCTGCTGAAAATAAGGTATTTACAAAGGAAACTTGGTTTACATCTAGGAACAGAGAAGAAAAAATAATCAGGCGAAGAGAGAATGATGAATTGTTTCAGAGAAGAATGATGTGCTATAGGACTTCTTCCCACTTTTTTATTTTTTTGGTTGGGTGGACAGGCTTGTGTTGCTTTAGTTTTGGAGGGGTTTTGGTGGCTTTCTTCTGCATGACTTTCCTTAACCAGCTTTTGCTTTCCTCTGCTGAAACCTTTGACGTTGTCCTTGATTTTTGTTGACTAGAGGAAAGAGATGGGTGATTTTATTTCTCATTCTGATAATAAGCCTTATTTTAACGTGAATTGAAGTCCAGTCTCTTTTCTATTTCCTAGAGAAGCTTGAGCCATAATTTTATTTAGCACTTTACAGTTCTAGGACTCATCTTTTTAATATATTTTTGGCCCGTGATTACAACAGTATTTTAGTGTGAATTGTGGGTTTTTTGTTTTTATTTGCAGTCCTCTCCCCCTTTGTAAGTTCTCGGAAAGTGTAGGTGGTGTCAGTTGAACAGAAAAAGAAAATGAAATGTTAATGTGAAAACAAGCATTAAAAAGAACCATTCTTTTTAAACATAGAGATATTGAGGATTCATTGCAGGACATTAACTCAAACATTGAATTGGTGTGTTTAAGTGTGGTGTCTTTTGCAATCTGCTTTACTTATATGGTTTTGTAAGTCACTTTTTTGTAGCACATAATATTTTTTAAGCTGAATTGAGAATGTGTTTGCAGCAAGTTGAACTGACAGTAATAAAAATGAGACCCCCGCTGAACTTGTACTTGCTGGCTCTGCTCTGCTACAGCACCATGCTGGGAGGAGAGCAAGGTCTGCTTCCAGCCTGCAGCCTGTATGGGGCAGAGGGTGCAGATAGCAGCAGATAACATCTCCGCTGAGCGAGAGGATGGAGGGGCAGGATGTGACACCAGCTGCTGGGTATTGTCTGCATGTGTTCATCCTGACACTATGTGTGCTTAGAGTTGTGCTGTTAAAGTGGTGGTAGGTCACCAGTTGCTTGAATATAATGAGAAGTGAGGGCTGCCAGAGTGTCAGATCTCACTGGGTTTCTTTTTCCTTTGTATTATTGTATGTGTATTTATTAAGCCTCTTCATAGTGATTTTTATTAAGTGAATTTTGGGTGAGTGAATAGGTGCTTGAACATGTTTAAAAAATCGTGACCATATTGATTCAAATTACAGGAATGGCTGTGAACCAGAGATGCTAGTGCTGGTAGAACGGGACCTCGCTGTAGTTTGCACGTGTTTGTACAAGCTGTTGGATACAGAATACCAATCTAACTTCCTTGCTGTTTTGTCTTCCACAGGATGTTGCTAACTGGGCTCATTGGCTGATACCTGCATTGTAAGGTTAATGTTGGCACCATAGGTGTGTTGCTGGTGTGTAACTTAATGAGTTATTAATTGAATGGCAGGTGGAATGTAAATAGGGAGCAGACAGGCTGCTGGAATGCTAATGTGTTGTTGAACTGTTAACTCCACCATGGAAATTAAAAGACAATACATGGTTTGACTTAATATTTCTATGAATATCATCGTTGTGTATAAATGGATTTTTACTAGTAGCAAGGTTACCTTTACTTTGGAAGAGCTCTTATTTTTGGGGACACTGTAGCCCATCATCTGGAGGTTGTTGTCTTGCATACAAGCTATGGGAGATGAAGCTTTTTGGGAGCAGTAGTTCATTGTGCAGTGTGTGTAGGGAGAATGGGTAAGTTTGAAGCTCATCATCCCTTCAACAGGTCTTCAGCCTTGTCGTTCCTGTGCAAGTTGTATTTTGGTTTTGGACCACTTCTGTTAATAATGAATTTCATCACCATTGTGAAAATAGCTTTGATATAAATTAAAACTTCATCCTGATATTGATGTGTGCCTGGCTCTTAAAGAACAGCTTTCTTCTCTTTGTTTCCATACTGCAGTTTCCAATGCTGTTCCCCATTAACAAGTTTCCCCATCTTGTTAAACAGGGATTAATTGTGCCTGAACTACAGAGGTTTGGAAAGACTGAAGTTATTAATATTTGGAGGGAAGGTTATATATGTATGCCAGTAATGATAAGGGATGATTTTGCAGCTCTTGATAACAGAACAAAGCTACCTTCAGGCTGCACTCTTGATTTTTCTCTATGTCATTCTGAAATTTATTATCTGGTATGTGCCCATTTTTCTGAGACATAAAACGTGGCTGGTAGGACAAAGGCAGAGAGATTTTTATCAACCTTGTTTTAATATTAAGATTGTGTTTGTCCTTCATTTTGCTACTGAGAGTGATTTTTTTCATCTCTTTCCTGATTGAAATAGGATTGTCCAAGGAGGTCTTAACAGTCTCTGATTTCTTATCCACAGGGTTAGGTGTTTGGTATTGGGTTTTTTTTCCTCTGCCTTTGTTTATATGAAAAATTGCTTTGACTCCCTGAAGTGTGCATTTCTTGGTTAGGCTCTATTCTTTGCTTATTGCTATACTGTTATGTCACCAAGTGGAAGTATTTGTGAACTATATATGTGTTTCCTGAACGATGACTGAAGACAAAAGACTAGCCATACTATTAAACCATATAATTATGGTTTAGTAACTAACTCATGTCTGCATGTTCAATTTCAGTAAGAGGTAATGGGTATGACTTTGTTAGAATCCATTTTATTCTGGTAATATTCCATTAATTTTAATTGGAGTCACTCTGGCATAATGCAGTGGCCCAGGTTGTTTTGTTTGTTTGGGTTTTTTTTACCTGAATGTAGCATTGCAGTACACTCAAATGCTCTTATTTATGTTACGGTTATTGGGTAAAATAAGGCACAAAGCATAAATAGTGCTTATTTACATATGCTGAAAATATTTTATACAGACTAAATCACCTTTTAGAATGAACACTTTAGAAGTGCACTTAGATCCAGGTTTATTAGCACTGACCAAAAAGCAGGACTGAAAACTAACTGCAGAACAAATTATCTTTTCTCATTCAAATTCCCAGCGGGTGCCTTTTTGTCTTTGTAACTGAAAAAATCAACCGTCAATGTGTAGGTAAGAGTCAATATTTTAGAAGAATCTATGGTTTGGGATCAATTTTAGCATATGGAAAAGCTTGGTCATACTTTTAAAGATTTCTCATTTGAATCTTGACATTTGGTTCCTCAGTGCTTAATTACCATTGAGATTGGAACATCACTGTTTTCCAAAGACATGTGAATCCCCACCCAGTACATCCTTTGTACACACACTAATCAACCATTGATAGAAGTTAGCTATTCACTGTATAAATCTAGATAAATTAATCTTCCACTAAAAGTGGAAAATGCTTATGAAGAAAAATATTTGCATGAGGCAATGTAATTGCTAAAACACTGGTTGTCAAGAAGACATCTGTGCTATTACAGATGAAGTATCCATATTTTGATTATCTTATTCATGAAATCATACTGTTTTGTGGCCATTCATTTCCTGTTGTTTTCCTCTGTTGCAAATCAGGAAGATGAGTTTGGGCAGCTAGTTTGCTTTGTCCAGGCAGGACACACATTTATCACATTTAAAAAATAACCTGATAGAAGGTCACTGTATTAAATCAACATTTTTTTACTGCATTATTTTAGACAATGTTTATTTCCTTCACTTACCCACCGCCACACCAGACATGTAGTGGAAGTTGAAGACAGTAGTTCTAATCAACAATTACTGGGACAATGACATCTGTCTAGAAAAAAAAAAAAAAAATTGGTAACAGTATCTTCAGTGCCAGAAGTTATGGTTTTGAAGCTTGCCCGTCTATGTGATGGGTCAAGTCCCATGATAGCTCTGCAAAGTCCTTATGGCTCCTGTAACTATAGATATAAAAAAATATATTTTAGTTTGGTAAGCTAACTCATCTCTGTTTCTATACCAACCAAATTTTTCTAGTTTCATTAACTAATTTATCGCCATTAGGAAAATGGCTTTGAGGGATGAAAATTTCATGTGTTTTACATCATATCTTTTTTTTATATATATAATACTGCAATACATTACATTTGAGAGTGATTTATTAACCTTCTTTCAGTGGTAGAAAATGAATCATAGGAGGCTGAGGTCCAAACCTAGCCAGACTGGGAAAAGTCTACATCCCACTGAATTTTAGAAACTTTGAATTTAGATATGTTTGCATTTGGACCCCAATGACTTGCAGAGTCACACAGAAATTATGTGGCAAGGCAGAGGACCTGGAATTTGGAAATAATTTAGTGTAGTGCTAGTCTTTTTTCAGGTGGCTTGTACGAGCGTAACTTCTGGCTAACCATATGTGTCTTATTTGCATTTGTAGCTTCAAAGTACTTCACCTAAATGCGTGTGGAGAAGCACGGCAATACATGACTCACTGAAGGGATGCCCAGTTCAGATGCCGCTTCGCATCTCCTCCACAAAATCCTCCACTATCCATTCTGCCCTCGTCATGTTGTTGCAGTCCATTTTAGCATCCAGGAGCTTTTGGTGAGCCAACTCAGTTTATCTTCAGGGGTTTTCTGAAGGCATTCAGGATTTTTTTTCCACAGTAAATAAAACTTGATTTGTAGATGAGTAACAAAAATTGCCACGTGAAACAGTTTATTAACCAGTGCTGCTAATTCATTTATATTATCACTAATTAAATGTTCTAAAGATAGGGATTTATTTAATGCTTATTAAAGGTATTGAAGTGGCTTATGAAACTGATCAACAGAAAACAGTTCTAGAATTGTATATTAAGACTAAATTAAGTTCGTGCTACAGAAGTTAATTTGCTAATGTATTTAGTCTGGAACAAAACCAGTAATACGTTTAACTAACCAGGTCGCTTGATGAATTAAGTGCACAGTTGGAAATTTGCTTTTAGTGATTATTCAAGCTAAAAAATAGATATATACCCACTTTCATGTTAGTAAAGCCTGAGTGCTTATATATTAATGGAGAAAATAATTGCAGAGAGTCACAAATATAATTGAATATAGAAGGAACTTGTTCAGATTTTCTCAAAATATTTTATGCCTGTTCTTTGGTCATTAATGTATCTGCTTTTTTAAGGCAGTTTAGTAGATCCTGTCAGCACACAAATACTTCTGCAAAGATTGTTGTACAAGTGGCATTTAGGCTAACTAAAGTTCATGTTTTGGATTTGGAGGAGGCAATTCTTCTGTTGTAGTATGTGCTGATTTGAACACTTGTCATGCCACAGCTGTCAGTGATAAATATTGATTAGAAATTTTTCCTATTTACAAACTGTGATTGAAAAGTACTCTACTAAAGTGGTGCATAGTGATGGTACTCTGTGAATTAATTGCTGAGATGAAAACATGGTTATTAAGATGAGTTGATCATAATGACCTTAAATAGTTGATTTCCCAGTTTTTAGCCTCCTCTTCAGTACTTTAGCTGGGGCAACCTCTCAAGAGACGAATGAAGGGTGATTATATTTCTAGTTTTTTCAAAGCAAATTATTTTAAAACCCATGTTCTCAGAAACTATTTTTGAGATAGTCTCTTGGTAGCAGGAGTCAGGAGCATGGGGGACTTCTGAGGGGGAATTTCTAAGGGATTTCAGCTCTTTTTCTGAAATAGATGAACTGTTCTGCATAATTCAGTCTGCATGGCTTCTTCTGAGTGAGAACTTCAGGAAGGATATGTTGGGCATTTTGGTCCTCTGCTGAGGTTTTAATTTACCTTGTTGCTGTAGACTTGCAGTGACAGTCATCCATGTGTGCTTGGGTTCAGCCTTTCCCTTACTCTAGAGTTAGCTGTATGTCAGCATTCTTCTGTCTGTGTAGTTCTGTAAAGTACTTTGCAACCTTTGTTTCGATTAGAAGTAGTATCAGCAGCAACAAAGGATTTTCTTACTTGTTACTTCCATGAAAACTCTGGAATAACAGCTTAATTCCTAGTTCTTGGATCTCTTAACATAGGCTTCATGCAAGTATAAATATTACTTTATCGCTGTATATTTAAATAGAAGCTGTATCAGAGATACTAAACAGTGCTTTAGCTGTAGTGCTCTATTAAATTTGTGCTTCTTAGAGTGTAAATTATTTTCATAATGGAGGGTAATTGCTCTGCTTTGTCAATCCATCGTCAGTTCATGAACACTGCAGCGTGTACGTGCAACCTCATGTTCAAGGAATTATATATGCAACTCCCATTATTGTTTGTTGTTCAATAAACAACTTCTAATGACTAAAGCTGTGTGTGAGCTGTTACTTAACAGCTACAAAATTTGCCAGAACTGTCACTGCCCTTTTAGCAGAAAGCTTGTTGTTTGTGAATGCAGTTCTCCTTCAGTGTTAATTGTGCTGCTAAATCCTAGGATATTGTGTTAAAAATAATTCAAAACTCAGTGTTGCATCACAGATGCATTTTTGTGCTTAAGAGAACACATGCCTAAGTTGTGGGCACAGCCTGCCTATAAACACTCTATTTTTGTCGTGAAATCTGCATTTACATGCATGGGAGGGATACCTGTGATGTTTGTATACACACACACCCCCCGCAACTACCTACCTTTGTACCCTTTCTTTGCCATCTCTGATACATAGTCATTGTATCTTATGGCAGGGGGTCCTAGGGATTATTGACCAAGTATTGGATGTATAAGAAAAGCCTTTGCAACACAACAAAATGTTCTGCCTGGTGCATCTGAGTCATTTGAAAAAGTGGTTCCGTTTGTAAAATTTTACAAATGGAAAAATAATAGTGTTGTTCTTCCCCCAGAAATGTGCACTTATAGCTCTACCTAGAATGTTTGATAATTGGATTAAATATTAGTTCCCTTTTGTACCCAGACTGTGCAAGCGGCTTGTAAATTATGGAGTAAGAATATGGGGCTTGTAAATGCCTAGTAATAAGTAATATTCACACATCCTGGACTATAGCAATAAAAATGGTGCTGATTTAATGAGTCATCAGTGTTCCTGAGCTCACAACAAGAGGTTTAGGGACAGAGCTGGGTTTTCTTGCCTTTGAGGTATGTAGGAGCCTTCCTCTGCCAGGTAGCAGTGGATTTGTTGAAGTGAATGCCAATGATAGTTTTGTATCTCAATAAAATGATACCGCCAGGTTACAGATAATACCTTTCACCCTGCAGAATTCCTAGTTGCTTTTCTAAACTCCATAATTCCTTAATCCTGCAAATATGACTATATTGGTGGAAAAGTATGTTGTGCAGTGGTAAGGGGGAAAGGAGGAGATTAAAGTCAAGGTTAAGGGAATGCAGAAGTGCTGTGAGTTCCCTACAGTTTGCAAGGACATCTGTGAAACCTTGCCTGAAAGGCTAGCTTTGTGGGGTTAGAAATCGAGAGAGCTTTTGCCTTTTGTGGCACTCATCCAGGGCAGCTAGCAAAGTGCTCTCATTCTTGTCTGCAATTCCCACACCACAAGTAAAGATAATACTTCTTCTTGTGTCCCATCTGTTTGCAGAACGAGTTCTGCAGAGTGGAGGTCTCTTTCAAGACCAGGTCTATGCTGCAAAGTTGTGCTGGTGTCATTGCATGGGAGCTGGGGTTATGAAAAATTGATCCTTCCTCATAGAAATCATGTTGTTAAGCTTCTCTCTAGCAAGGACACTAACCTACCGTCTTTCCATCCTAGTTCTGCTATGAAAACGCATGTTCATTTACAAATGTGGAAGAAAAATCATTAGCATTTTTTCAAATAAAGTACAATCACATCTTCCCAATTTCACAGGCCATCCCTCTTTGCAAATCTCATTTAATTATCCCAGACAGGTGTTGTTCAACAAAAGCTCCTCGCTTTCTCTCTTCTCTAGTCTCCTACTTGAGCTAATGAAGCTTCAGTGATGTTGCTGGAACAAAGAACCAATTTATATAACTGCAGGTTGGGGAGAAGAAATAAGAATGGTAATTGAGGAAGGGCGCTGAAGAGAGGCAGTGGGAGCAAAGTTCCTCTGTCTGTGTAAAGAGATCTCTCATTATTGGTGATTAGGGAGGAAGCATTGCAGAGCCAAAAAGGAAAGTAGGTGTGCAGGAAAATCGTTGATAGTTTATTGATATGCAGATGTTGCTTTATGAAAGGACCACAGACCTCGCTGTGGTGACCTTTACATCCTTGAGTTAATGGGGTGTAGGTTTGTATTAAGAGAAGGGAACTGCCATTACCTCCACACAGGTCTTACGGGAAGTCACTCAGCCTCTCTCTTTATAAAGCTCCTGGGTACGATCTACAGCTGCATGAACGTTGCTTACTAACACTCCGTGCATAAAACTTCTCTGCAAATCCCTGGGCTTCTTTTCTGTGGGGAAGCCTATGTGCTTCCACAAATATTTGATGCATATTCATATGACAGCAAGTCGTCTTTCATGGTTTTTGAAAACAGGTCCTGCCTGCTCAGTTTGTCTAGACAATAGGATTTGGGGTATTTTTATTAGCAGGTATGGTAGCAAAAAAAAAAAAAAAATTTGCTAGGCTAGTTGACAAGAAGCCCTACCTTGTCTAATGGTAATGTGTTTTCACAGTTCATATTTGATTATACCTAAAAGCTCCCTAGTCCCTGCTGCTTCCAAATGGTTATAGACATTTATATTCTGAACACTAAAAATCAGCAAAATTAAAATACTCTTTTAAGCCTATTTGAATTAGTCATCAGTTATTCTGAAACTTCAAACCAACTCATAACACTTTCAGTATGAAAACTAGGCTCAGGTGTGACCCCATGTCCAGCTATAAGTAGTTATTTTCCTTTTTTATTTGGCAAGGCAAGAGCTCGTATTTCAGGAAGGAATATAAATGCCTTCCCTGCAAAATCCACCAATGAATAAAATTGCTTTCCGACAAGTTTAGGTAATTCTGCCCATATGGAGGTCAGAGACCATAAAAATACTGTGCAAAAGGCTCACAGTGAAATGTGTCCATTCCCTTAGTCTTTGGGAAAGGACTTTACAACCAAACGCACATTCTGAAAGCCCAGAGTAAAGTACCATTAGGGCTTTAAATTATACAGAAATATATTGATGTCACTAGTGGGACTCTTAAGAAAGCTTTTACAGATGGCATGTGCACTTCAGTGCAGGTACATCGTGGTCTTACGGGTCACTGAAAGCAAAACCAGTGTCCACCTCTTCCCTGTGAGTATTATGAATTTTATCAGTCTCTTAAAACAAGGTATTTTGCTTACAGCTTTAGCTCTGTGTATGAGCATGTGAAAGAACGGAATTCCTAGCCCCTGTGCCTGCAAAGTCACCTTGAAATTTAAAGCTGGTCTCATCACTTTTGAACAAAGTTAGCACCAATGGACGTAGGGAAAACCTGCTGTTTGCCTTCAATAAATAAATAAATAAATACTTAACCGTAAGCTCAGAATTTGAGATGGGAGGCTCGGGCTGTGTGGAAAAAAGTCATGTACAGAATTCAAACAGTTGCAACTCCCTTTTGAAATGGCTGCTTGCTCAGCTCCTCATGAGCAGGAAAACCAGTTCTGGAGCTAGGAGTATTAATGTGTTTTGGTTTTGCTTTAATTTGGTACAATGAATTCAAGCTCTAAGAAGGGGAAATTTGTAGAAGGAGAGAAGAAAGACTGCTAAAATAACTCAGTATATGCTCCCTGTTGCTTAGCTCTGGTCTTCTTGCATAATAATGTTTTGATGTTCTTGATGTGTATTGAAAATTGGAGGAAATAAGAAAAACAAAACCACCCCCCTCTCTCATCTTCCTTTTTTAGTCTACCAGAAAGCCAAATTGCCAGTCCCTGCTCAGACAAATATCTTATATAGGAAAGACTGATAAGTTCTTTGTTCTTTCATTTGCTTAGTCAGAAGTAACAAAACCATGGTATGGAAGATATTCTCAGGTCTGCTTTGTCAGAGATTCAGCTGTTAACCACAGAATGCTGTGAGAGTTTGCTTAGATGAACTTCTAGCTTTTCTGTTAAGTTTCCCCTCTCTTAAAATGGTAGAAGTAGTGTCTGTGCTAATAAGATTTTTGGGCTTTCAGTTATGCTTTGAGCAATTCCTGTGAAAAAACAACCGCCCCCCTAAAAGAGAGAAGGGAAGGAACCCAACAAGGTGCATTAAGCTGTAATCTTACTCAGTTTTGTTAAATAACTGGTATCTGTTTTGACTTTTCAGTAGTTACCTGAAGCATCATACTCTTTCTGGTGGCAGTAGATGGCATGCAACCTGTGTTTATTTGCAAGCATGCTGAGGACTGGTGAGCAGAATTTGGGGTGTCAGAGGGATGTGTGCTCTACAGGTACAAGAAATAGACTTTAGTGTCATGTAGGGGCAGAAGTAGTACAGGAGCAAGTGTTGTGGGCATGACTTCAGAGCGTCCTGAAATATTTCTGAAGAAAACTGGTAAAATATTCCTGGAGAAAGCTGGCTCTTTGAATGGTGGAAGACCACATGAAATGGGGCCTATTTTTCCCTTTTGCAACCATTTAGTATAATTTTAACAGTTACTTGGCCTCTACGGTATTTCAGAGACCTTCCACTAATCCCCTAAAGATCGTGCAGGAGAGTCTTTAAAAGAAGAAAGCAAAGTCCTTTTTCTGTGAGAATGTGAAGCAGGTAACCACTATTTAATATCAGGTTAAAACAACCCCAACAGACACAACGATTTCTTCACCCTTTCCTTAAGGTATAACACAGCTGGTAGCTTCTTCATCGGACTGAATGATCTAAGGGTTCCACTTCTCTTCATGAACAAATGAAGAGAACCACAGCTGGAAACTGGTACCTTGCTCACATTATGACTTTGTCATTTTTAGGCAGGCCAGTGGATTTTGGAAGTCACAGGAAGAGTTAGTGTTAATGTAACCTTTTCAGATCTAAATTACTTGTAACGTGCTCTGGAAAAGAACTGAAATTGGAAAGAATTAAGTGATGTGTTGTTGGAGAACGGCTTGCAGAGAGCAAGGCCATAGCTCCCTGCAGGAGCTGGTCGGCCATAGCTCCCTGCAGAAGTCAGTCCCAGCCACCTGAGGTAAACAGAGGAAAGAACCCAGGGTACAGTTATGTAAACAAGGATGAAGACCCAAGGCTCAGTTGTGCTAGCGAGGATTGTTGTGAGAACACAGAGATAAGTTGGGGCGCATTATGACCTTGGGGGTCAGAGAAAAGCAGCCCTGGGAGAGAAGCAGGTTCACAGCAAGAAAGATGTTTATGCATACCAGAAATACCACAGGGGGCTGGGATATTATAATGTGACCTTTTAGATGTACCCAATGGCTGAGATATTATAATGTAGTTTCTTTAATGTATCCAATAGAGTTGCAAGTAGTGTATTGTAGACTGCTTACATAAGGTGTGATTTCTTTCAATAAAGTTGAAGCTTGCTCTATCATTCACATTGAATCAGCTGCTTGCTTCCTCCGCCCGCCGCAATGTGTTCTCACCACACCTTCTGTTAACCAGAGGTAAGAGAAACTCAGCTGTTTCAGGAGCTTTTTTTTTTTTTTTTTTTTAAATCTACAGGCTTTAACTGTCTCCTCAGGCAAATCCATAGATGTTTTTCTTTCAGTTGGATTTTATCATTTCCAGCAACAACCTGTTTACAATAAAATATTCGTCAAGTTTCTTATAAAAATACTTTATTGGTGTTTTCAGAAGGTAGCAGACACAAGAAAAGGTACAAGCAGGCTCAACAGTACATGCTGTCAATTCTTCGTACACTTACTTTAAAGGATACATTTTAAGCCATATAATGGTCTGACTGAACATGTCACAAGACCAAAATATCTTCTACACAAAACAAGACATCATTTAAAACCTGACTTCAGATGACAATACTGATCTACTCGACAAATATCACTGGAATAGAGTTGGATAGCATTTTCTTTTGTTCCCAGCAGCAGCCAAAAAGCAGTTTGCTTACAACAGCGAAGTGTATTTGGCAATCATGACATCATAAGCTTTTGGGTACTACTTTACAGCATTTGGGTTTCTATTTGTAAATGTACTTTTCAGAGATGATCTTGAGTGTCCCTCTATGATACTGTTAAATAAGAGTGTTTGCTATGGCAATTAATTGCACATTTGTATCGCTGTATCACTGAGCAGTGGCCAACAGAGCTGGGCAGTTGAAGTCTTTTCCTTTATGGTGATGCTAACTCTGTTCCCAAAGTGGTTACAGAATAAATGGGCAAGTATGATGAGGCAGGAGCTGGGAAGCAGAGATAAAATGCCCAAGATTTTACATTAAGACTGACGCTATAGCCCTGGTCTCTTGAATCTGGTGCTACATCTGTGGAATCAGTTGACTGCTTTAAAAAAAACGTAAAAATAGAAGAGTTGATGCTTGTTGCCTGGATCAGCTCAACCCAGGTCTCCAAATTATGTATTTTAAAAGGAGGCATTCAAGAGTTCTGGAACTAACTTGCTAAAATGAAGAGGACTAACTTAAAAAAAAAAAAAAAAGTGCTTGTCATTCTCTAACACATTGCTGATGGAGTATTTTTAAGATCTTGCAAAAGAGATGTTAAAATGTCTTTGGGTCATCACGAGGGAGGCTCTGGAGAAGCTGATGCCCTGCTGGAACCTCTCCCGTAGGCACAGCACCCCTCTTCCTCGGGTCTGCCGGGGCTCCCGCGTCCTGCGGGCCGGGGGTAGCTCTGCCGCCCAGCTCCGGGCGGGGGGAAGCGCTCCCGTGTGCGCTGCGGGGCTGGACGCAAAGACATCGGCTCGGCTTTGAAGCAGGGATCGGGGAATGCCAACAGGGCGCTGCAGGAGGCTCGGCGCCTCTGCGTCTGGCTGGAAACTCCGGGGCATCTATCACACCACATGCAACCGGGGTCTAGACTATGGCTGTAGCTGCTGTAGCAATAATGATAAATGGGTGTTTTCCTTCTTTTCTTTCTGTATCATCATATATGTGTAATCTCTTGAGGAAAAAACGCTCCTGTTTATGGGAGAAATCGGATCTACAAACCGGTAGATTGTAGTTTAGTCCAGTAGTTTTAGGTTAGACATTTTTGCTAGCTTTTATTGTTCAGTTTTAATTTTTCTTTATTTTAGCAAAATGCTGGTGCCGCTCTGGCTGACTAGGTGGCAGCAGAGCTCTTTTGTTGCACCTGCAAGTGGAGGACACAGATTTCATTGTGTTTCATGTCCAAAACCTCTTTACCCTTCTATTCTGCCTGATTTTGTTGTTGATGGACTAGAGTAAATGAATAGCGGTCTCACTGGTGCCTTCCTGACACACCCCACACCAGTGCTCCCAGCAAGGTACAGTCCTTTTCCATGACACAGGTATATTACAGCAAGGCTCTGCTCATCTGCACCCTTCACTTCCAGCAGTTCTGAAGGGGATCGTGAGGTTGGATCTTTAGCTTCTTGGGACAGAGGAGTTTAATAAAAGCTCTTCTGAAGCTGTAGTGGCAGAGAGGGTATAGGACAGGGTTGACAGCCGAGTTGATCCACAGCAGCCAAAAGGAAGTCTCGTACCAGTAGTCAGAGATGCAGTGGCCGTGGCAGCCAGCGCGGATGATCATCAGGAGAGTGTATGGTGCCCAGCAAATCCCAAAAATGCCCACGATGATTGCCAGTGATTTGGCCACTTTCTTGTCTCTAGAGAGCCTGAAGCGTTGGGTCATGCTCTGGGACACTATCTTCATCTGTTTCTCTATGGACAGAGCGGATGCTGCATTTTTACAGCTCTTTCTGTTGCAACGCTTAGGTTTCCCGGAGCTCTCACAGCCTGTTGACAGCAGGTCTTTGGCACCCAGGCTGGCAGTGGAGGCTGCTGCTTGAGCTTTGCTCTTAGAGAGGTCGAGGGTTTCAGCTGGCTCCTTCTGCTCCCATTTACAGCATTTCAAAGAAAGCTTTGCTTCTGGGCTCATTTCCATCTCTTCAGTGAAGGACTGGTTGTGCACTTCATGGAAAACATCCAGGCGTATTCTGGTGCGCTTCTGTATGTTCAGGTAAATGCTCAGGTTGAAAAACATTACACTGATGAAAGGGGTGAAAAACTCCAGCGTGGAGGCTGTCATGAGAAAATACCAGTTGTAGAAAAATTCAGCGTAGCATTCCCCTGTGGGTATGATGCTCTGGCCTGATATATACTCCCAGCTGATAATGGCAGGTCCGTAGAGCAGGAACGCTAACACCCATACCATCATCATCTTCAGCACCGCTCGCTTGGTGTTGCCTTGCTGGGCTCTGTAGGCGACCTGCAATGGGGAAACCTTTAGTGTGGTCACAAACCCCACCTGGTTGAGGCTCTTCACAACTGAACTATTTGTGTTTCTGGGAAAGTTGCTAGGCGATATCCCATCTAACAAATTCACACGCCATAGGCAACAGGAGCAATTGCTAGATAAATCGCACTCCTGCAGGGAAGAGTTAAAACCCTCATCTTGCAGCTCCACAACAAGACGTGGCTTCTGCTTACTGGAAATGTACTGTCTTCCCAGCAGTCTGCCGCACCCCACCACTTGCCTGAGTTGTCCCCCGCTACTCTCTGTAACTCCTGGGCTAGGCAGGCATCTAGCCCCGGCTCTCCACGCCTAGTAGCTAAACCATGTTGTATTTGGAGTTAGGGAACGAGAAAGTGGACATGATCTGTCTGCAAATTGCTCGTTGCCTCCTGCAAAAGGCTGAGCATTTTCATCTCGCCACGTACCCAGAGGCCTCAGGGCTGTGCCCTGGCAAAGTTGGCACGGCGATCTACTGCCTTGGTAGCCAAGGAGAAGCTGGGAGTCCAACTGCAATCCGCTTGTTTGTCCTGGAGATAATAAGCCCCTGCAAGTTAGGAATAGGTCTGCTTACCTTGCTGACTCACTTGTACACTACTATCCTGTCATCTGGGAAGGAAACACCTGCACACTGGGGTCTGAACCTTAAGTGATTTAATTATGCCAGAAATACTAATCCGAAACCACAGCTGAATGATGTATTTGTGGATAATTATTGCTTTCCGTCACCATGCTGAAAGATTCCTAATTTCTGGAGGATTCAAAGAGCTTTTAATTACCGCAGAGAATCTGGAGAATAAAAGCAGAAGGAGAGTTATTCCCCCCTCAGCTGCCATGACAAGACTCACCGCTCTTGTCACCGAGATGAATCTGTCATAGCTAATCAGCACGATGTTGAAGACCGAAGAGGTGCAGAGCAGGTAATCAACTACCAGCCAGAGTTTGCAGAGGCTTCTCCCGAAGATCCATCTCCCCGTCAGCACATAGGGCACGTACAGGGGGATGCAGAAGGCACCTGCAACCAGAGGGGTCCGTTTCCATCGAGGTGCGGGAAGCTGCAGGGCAGCTGCCCCCCCCC